GAATGAGAGAAAAAGAGAGAAAGAGGGAGAAAGGAAAAATACAGCTCATGGGGTGTGAAGAAGATCCAGAAGTAACCAAAGGAAGAGCATGTCAACACGCTCTCCTCAAGGAAAATAATCTGACCTGCTCTCCTGTGGTATTTGCTGAGGAGTATGCGTGGTTGTAATTGTAGCAATTTTTTCTGCGTTGGTCAATAAAGTAGCATTGGAGGATTCTGTAAAATAATTTTTTTTTTAGTATGAGGGAAGATCACTGAAAAAAATACAGGTTTTGCAAAGGCATTTCCTTGGAAAGTATCATTATTTTTTTTTGTAAATAATAACTTGAGGGTGGACCAAATTTCATAAATCCAGCAATTAAAAAGACAAAGTGTTTTAAAGTAATTACAAAATACTGACTGTGCTCCACTTTTCAAGAGCAAAACCTAAGCTGAATACACAACTCACTGGTGAAAAAAAGATGCACATTGTTTCTTGAATTTATCTAATTCTAGTCCCACTTAAAGAAATATCACCACCACCATGAGACAGCAACAACAAAAACTGCATGGAAACATCTGGTTTTCCAATCTAAAATTGCAAGGTCTTCTACTCCTGCCTTTGCTCGTCTCATACACTCCTGTCATCTGATAATTCATACCAAGTAGAGCAACAATACATCTTTGGTACAGATGTATCTCCATGACACTGCTGTGTCTATCTTTAGCCCACCCTACCCCATGAGTCAGGAGCTGTGCATAATTTTTGCTAACTTTTTATACACAAGTTTAGGACACAAGCCAGCCATGATGCAGAGGGATCATGGGAAGAGAACATAAGTATAGGAAAAACCCTCTCTAGCAGAATCACAGTTGCTGTAGTTCTAAATCCTAAATACTTCATTTATTCATGGTCCTATGCTGCCCTAGAATACTTAAGACACCAGCTAAGTGCCTAGGCTTATCTTTTTTAGGCTCTCTGTATCACTGCATCGGCTGGCAGCATGTTAAGCCATTGCAATTTCATCGCAAATATACCCCTGCAGTGGCCTATCAGAATGAGTTTGTGCAAAACTATTACCTAGCAAAAAGTTGGTATTTTTAATAACTTCAGAAGAGATTAACAGTGTGAGTTTACTGTTAGTCTCATGAGTTAGTCTCATGATGAGCCATAGTTTCATCATTATTTGAGAAGTTCAGCTTCCATTATTTGTTTTTCTTTCAAGTACTCTCTTAAGAGCCCTTATATTTACCAAAAAAAAAAAAAAGCTCCCAAATCAGACGACAACAAAGAAAAAATAACAGAGACTAATTTCTTAAACCTCATGGCTTTTTAAGCAAACTTCTCAGCAATGCGTGGAATGTCTGGTCTTATACGGCTTTTGGAAATTCAATGCAGGTAATATGGTGTAAAATTGGTAAATTGGCTTCGAATTTCAAGGGGATAGTAAATACAAAGACTCAAATCTTGCATTGCTAGGTGAATAGGGTTGACTCCTTAAATTACAACTTTCCAACTGCCTACCCCTTCACTAGGAAGGCCCAACATCAGTTGCAACCACAGATTTATCTTCCAACCTAAGCAGTTTAACATGGTATTTTGTACATATACTGGTATGAACAAGGCTTACTGAGCATTCATGCCAGGAGACTACATTTCTCTTAAACATTCTCAAGCGATTCAAAAGTTATTTTCTTTTTTGCATTTTTGCATTCATTTATTTTTATTCAAAAGTTCACCTTCCTCGATTTTGATCAGACGCAAAATAAAGGGTAACAAACAATTCTTCTCCCAGTTTGTCTTTCAAAATTGTCGCACGAAGGCCAGCTGAGACATTAGTCTGACTCACAGCCATTTCATTATTCATAAATACTCAGTTTGCTGGAAGGAGCATTTGATCAGGTACCATTTGACCCAGAAGATGTTAGAGAGCAGGAAAATAAAACTCTCATGCAAAACAAATCATCCTAAACAGAAATAACTTACAATCGGATCATTTCTAGCCTTGGCCTATTTTTATCCTCTAACTAAACACAGCATAATCATGCTCTGTGGGGTAAACAATGTTTGAGATTACAGCGGGCATAGCAAGTAAGAGATTAGGGAACTACAGAGTGTTTCTCACTGGAAATCGCATCGTCTAACTTCTTCATCCTGCTTTAGAGATACTAGGTTCAATTCATAACTTCCCTCTGGTTCTTTGGGAGCCTTAAGTGTAGTAACACTAGTCCATACACACAGAGTGACAGCAAAACGTTTCCTATCAGCCTGCAGAATGAAAAGGTCTCTTTCCAATGGTTTTCATTGTGGGACATCATCTTCCTCAGTTCAGTCACACTTTCTTAATCTTTCTTTCGAACTAGATCATACTTTTTCTACATTTAATTGAATTTTCTGGACTGCAAATAATGTCCTGTAAAGTCTAAAAACTTCACACTGTATCTGAGCCATCAAATCTTACACCCATGGATTCAGCTTAAAAAGGAGAGAGCGATACAAGAGAATTTCTGCCAAACAAGCTCCCACTACTGACCTGTCTAAAAAGAAGACCGTGAACAAATGAAACATTCAGAATTTAGAACCACAGTGTTTTTAATTCTGCTACAGATACTTTTTCATATGCTTATGCTCTGTTTCTATTTGGCATCACAGCTAGGGGTGAATTTCAGGAAACTGATAGATAATGCAGATCCTTATTTTTATTACCCAATTCAGTGATCTGAAACTAGTCTCAACTGTCAGCATGTTATCGGGGTTTGGAGCATTCCTTCTGTTCAAAAACAATACGATATACAACACAATATCTATTTGGGGTAACTCTTACAATATCAGCTGAAAGCAAGCAAGCAGCTCCAGAGCTACTGCCACTTGACAAAGTCATTGCAAAACGTACTGAGATCACTCCCAAAGCAACACATCCAGAATAAAAACAAATCTTCCATTTCCAGAAGCTTAAAACATGACAACATCTTTATGCCTTTCTGTGATTCCTTTTACTCTATTGCCTGCTTGTGCATACATAAAGCTTCAGGGGTCCCACGTACTAGCGAGTAAGCAACCATTCCCAAATAGTCCAATGCTGCATTGTTAACCTAAGAATTCAGTCCAAGAACACAGAGATATATGAATTTACAGAAGGTCATTTTACAGAGACACTTGGAGGAATAAGGATAGAATGGACTCTTACTGTTTTTTTTAAACAGACGATGAGCATCCCCCTGTTTAAAAAGAGAACCCTCCATAGAAAAAAAAAAAAAACCAACTCTGGAAGATTCACAGCCCTCTTTGCTGCTAATTCCCAAAGGGGGAGTGGGGACGGAGCCCTCCAAGACTGCAGCTCTGACCGACACCAAAAGCCCCGGAAGAAAGTAACGGAGGACTCGGGTTAAGATAGCATGGAACGTATACTTTACCATCTCCTGGAATGATGCGCAGAGTAACGGTGTTTCCCGCCTCCTTAATTAGGTTGACGATGTCTGAATGCGATTTGTTGGTGATGGAGCATCCATTCACAGCCAAGATCCGGTCGCCTACTTTCAGCTTGCCACAGCGGTCTGCGGGACTCCCTTCAATTATCCGACCTATTTTGTGAGGCATGGCCACACATGCATTTCCCGCTTTTGTATTGTTTTGGGGATTTTGTTTTGTTTTGTTTTGGTTTGGTTTTAATTGTTTACATATGTGGGAATATGGTGAAGGGGAAAGGGAAAGAGAAGGTTAAGGGTTAATTAATTAATGCATCAAGCAAAAGTTATTATAGGATAGCTTTGCTGCCAGTGTTCAAAACATTGGCAATTAACTAGTATAAGTGCACAATACGTTACTTCTTTTACAAAGTGTTTTGTCAGTCCATCAGTCCCCCCCACACTCTTGATTTCTGTTAATAAACAGTGAGATTTTTATAGCCTACAACTGCACTCAGCAGCCCCATAATAACCCAAATCCTGATTTTATTTTTGAATCAAAAAGATGGAAACTGCTGGTGGAAAACATAACCTTCCTCCTCCAAGATTACATCAGTGTCAGCATTTCTAGTCTTCCTCTAAGTCAACTGCTGTTGAAGCTTCTGCCAATGTTTTGTTCTTTCTCAGTTTAGAAAGATACAGTCATTCTAGGACTAGGAGGGAGCACGACTCCCTTTCTACCACAGGAGACCCAAGCTATCAGTGCTACATGGGGAAGCAGTATGAAATTGTTTTTTTTTTTTTTCTGTCAGGCATAAAGGAACTACCAGGTAGGGCATGGGACCACTAGGGAGGGGCCAAGACTGACAAAGCCAACAGGCCTGGTGCAGTCCTCCACCTCACAGCCGTGTTAACCCTTCCCCTTTTATGATCTTAGATGGCATAGGGACAGGAGCAGGGGAGGAGCAAGGACCACCTGATTTAAATACCTCTAAAACCACACGCAAAACTGTTGAGATGACTAACAGACACAGCGAGAGCACTTAAGGATGAATATGTTTCGGAGACAAAGCTCCCCTCCTGTCCCACATGGTTGCCTGTCCCCAAAAACAGACGGTCTTCAACAACATGCAGAATTGAGATGCAGGACATACAGAACTGAAGTCAGATAAATCCACTGGACTTTTATAGGGCTTCCTTACACAAGCAAGGGGCCCTTAGTGTGCAGCATGTGATGAGAAGCATGAGATCTGCAGAGTGGTCATCTCATACCCCACATGCACAGTACATTCACCCTCAAGATGCACTTTCCCATCTGTGCTGTAATCTTTTATCCGATTAGTAGTTTTAGAGATATACACTGCTACATGCATAAGAATACCAAAAAGACCATAAAGAAGAAAAGGCTAAGAAAAGGAATATGAGGTGACAGAACAGGTTGGAAAGATACAATGAAAACCTGCAGAAAGTGTTAATATTAATCAAGGATGGTGGAGCATATTTTTTTTTGCTTTTACTTTGACGTTAGGAAATTTCTCTTCCTGGTAATACAATGACCCATCCAGGTCACAGCTGTTTTGAGGGCCTCTGAAACGACTTTCTACTCTATCCAATTTATTGGACACAGATGACTAAGTCCATACCAAGGTGACCAAGGTGGGTTTTAGAAACAGACTGGTCCATCTCTAAATACTACCTATGAAAGAAAAAACTTCAAAGCAGGTACAAAGCAAGCACCACAGAGCAGAGGGGACACATCTCATGCAGAGAATTAGGAAAAAGTTGAATATACTTGAAAAAAATTAAAGGAAAAACAGTCACAGATCAACAGCTCTCCATGAGGAACCTCTGCACAGATAGCTTCCACTTAGCTAGGATCTTGGGCTAGAGCAAACACAACTCTTCAGAACCCCACGTCAAAGTTTCTTTGCAGAGAACAGTTAGAGCACGGTCCTCACACAGCAAAAGTTATTTACCCACACATTATCAAATGCTTTCAGAAAATGAAATCTCTCTCCAATTTAGACTGAGTTCATTTTAAACACTATTACAGTATGCTGTTGTGTGCTGGCACCAAAATACCTATTCTGGAAGAGCAGTTTCCAGGAGTAAGGACAACGCAAGGTGGCCTAGCTGCAGAGAACTGACAGAAGTTACTGCACTGAATATTCCCCCCTTGAAATCTCTAGTGCTGCCCAGAACAGTGTTAGAAATGGCTCACTCTGCATAAATAACAACAAAGGAGCTGATGCTCCCTGTAGTTATTGGTGCGTTTACTAATGCAAGGGCACTGGTGATGGGCAATGGCAGGAAATTTCAGAGGAAAAAGCCCGGAACAAAGTGGGAAAGGCCACTTTTTGCCACATGCACTTGCGCGCTCTGGGAACATGCAAGCTGATGGGTAGACTGCAATGTATTTTGTCTGCAAAACACAACTCTGCTTTGAGAGGTACCGTGAAGATGGCCAGAGCACTTGCTCTGTCTTTCTTCTCCCCCTCCACCCTTCTCACATGCCGCAGACCAAGAGGGAGGGGGCACCTTCTTTTTCCCCTACGACGTAGGAACAGATGCTGCCCCTAGCCCTTTTGGAGGAGATGGGAAGGGAAGAAAACGGCAGCTGTAGCTGGTTCCTCCCCCGCAGTGACATTTCTGCTCTAGTGCAGGCCATGCTGTGCACACTGGTAAAACTAGCTGATACGTGCTTTTCAATACATGGTTCATTTGCTCTATAGACAAAATTACACCACTTTTGCACCTGGAAATGGGTGCCTGCCTAGCAGAAGGGGCTGTCTACAGCAAGAAGCTGTGACCACTTATCTTAAAGCAGGACACTAAGTGTGTTGTTGCATGAACTTCCTGCTTCTCCCTGCTCTAAACCAAAGCGTTTGGGAAGGGGAGACACAAGGTGGTGAGGGTCAAAGGACAGACCTGTTTTGTTTTTTTAACAGTATCCTTCACTGTATGTCTCCCCAGCAAGCACTATTAATTAAAACTTTCCAGCTATCAGCATGCTCACTCGACAATGAGGATCAGGAGAACAACCTTGACTGCCAAAGAGAAGTTAATCAGTTTAAGCATTACTGCTTCTAAATCAACTGGCTCCACTTCAGGACCAGGAGACGTAATTCATTCCCCTGACTCCCCTTCCGCATTAGCAAGCGTATCGTCTTCGGGGAAACCCTTGCTGCTCCTCTGAGAACAAAACCCACGGGGACATCCAGCTCATACAGACGGCCGCAGGCCTCGCAGCGAGTTCAGGCAGCATCAGGAACTGCCAGTGGTGGCACTTTGCTCTCCTGGTTCCGATTTCTCATTTTGCTTTTCTCGGCTCAGTGCTGAACAAAACCCAGGAGGCAAACACCTACCAACTCTCAACCTCCGTGAAGGCTATTAATTACAGAAATTAGGGCACGCTCAAGAACTGTAATTAAATAGAGAGAGTAGAGAGAGCCTCGCCTGCCCCCTCGTGCCGCTGTGCTCTATCCCGCCTCTCCTTCAAGGCGCTTAGCCAAATCCCGAGACTTACCAAACGTCGTCCCCGCCTCCGGCCGGCTCACTGAAGACACAATGACGAAGCCGAAGCCTTCGTTTTCGCCACGGCGGATCTCGACATCATAGGGCTGGACCACAGTGCTGACGACACCGCTGCCACCGCCACCACCGCTACCGATGCCGCTGGTGCTGCCGCTGCCCGAGCTGACGGTGTTCAGGGAGTTCTGGCTGCCCTGCGGGGTCCGCTTCTCCTCCGTCAGCGAGGCCGGCTGGTTGCTGCTATGGTGGGAAGAGGCCGGAGATGGGACTTCGTTCTCTGCCTTGGGAACTGGGGAAGGAAAACAGACGTGCCCTCTGAGCAGGCTGCAACATTTCCTGCTTGAGCAGCGCTGTGCACCAACGAGAAAAAAAGATCATTGGCTTTAATCTATAAATTATGATCAGAATGAGAAAGGGCTCTGTATCCCCTTGGACATCACCACCGACAGCTCTGCTGGGTGATGGCACGGACCACCCGCGCTCGTTCTTGCTGGCGTACGGAGCGATACAACCACAGCCGTTCACTGCTGCAACCATCGTAGCAATACAAACCAGTGCAGTACCAGTGCATGCCCAGATGCTCTGTGGCATTTTAAACCTTGATTATATTAGTTCATTGTGCCCCTTTTAAATATCATATCCCTGTTCTATTTACATATGTGCAACTGTGTGTATGTGCAGGCAGACACAGCAATACCAATTATCCACCACTCAACACCTGTGTATTATTCAACTTAATGCTATCAGTTGGGTAGCACTGATTGCCTTTGATTAACATGATCTGTTCTGAAGAGTAATAATAACTACCCATACTAAAGTAAAGCCACTTGTAAATTAAACGTTTTTGGACAGAAGAACCAGCTACTATCCCCTGTACAGTCCAGCACAGCTGGGGAGAAGACTTTAAATATTATCACAACTGTTTAACAGCAACTGAAGATGGACATGGTATTAGTATAAAATCTAATCAGCTACCACAAGGCTTGAAGAAATCCCCCAAAAAATCATCTAGTCTGCACTCTGCTCGAGTCAGGGCCAACTACACTTACTGTCAGCCCTGACAGATGTTTGTCTAATCTGCTGTTAAATATCTCCCCAGGCAATCTATTGGTTGTAATATCTAACTTGAATCTTCCCTTCTGCAACATAAGGCTATTATTTCTAGCTCTATCTTGCAGGCATATGGAGAACATATTATTCCCTTCCTCTTTGTGGCAGTCTCTTATAGTCTTGGGGAGTTTAACACAACACCTCCTCCCCCTTCTCTGCTTTAGGCTAAACAATCCCAATTTGCTCAATATTTCCTTGCAGACCATGTTTTCTAGAGCTCTCCTTATTCTCACTGGTCCTCTGGACTCCCTCCAGTTGGGCCCTGTCCAACTCAAACACGTCTTTCGTGAAGTGCTGGACCATATTGCAGCTGAGCCATCATCACTGCTGGGAAATCAGAAGAGTTACTCCCTGTCTGCATCCCAGCAGTGTTTTTCTTTGCCAGAGGGTAGCTCTGGTAAAGCCTGTGGCCCACAATAACCTCCACTTCTTGCTCTCCAGCCAGGTCCCCACAGTCCATTTGTGCAACTAAAAGCAGCGTGTTGCAACTGTCCCTACTAAATGGCTGCCTCCATTAATCAGGTCATTTCTCCGATTTGTTTGATGAATCAAAATTAGGTTGGAGATCTTAAAAGAAACAAGAAAATGGGAGCCAAACACAAAATCTGAATCTCCAAGCCCATGATCCAAGGGAACAGAATTTTAAAATGTTCTTGAAAAAGATTACCTGTCTGGACTCGCACACTCTAAATATTTACTAAACCCATAACGTTCTACATATTAGGAACACAAGAGTATAAACGTTCCCCTATATGAACTTCAAAACAGGGAGTACCTATTAAGGTAAACATTCTTTTCCTACTGGCACGTAGATGAGAGCAGGAATAAGGAGCCAAAATTCAAGAAGAGGCTTGTCTACAACGTTATGGTGGACTTTGAAAGTCTACGAATACAGGATGAGTAATTTATCTCAGAATAACTGTTTGCATTTGAAATGATTCAGAATTAGCTTAGTCTGGAGTAACAAGCCCTTGAATTTCAAGGGTTTATACTAACATCTCATGCATCTAAATCTTTTTACGATAATTTCCAGCCTAGAGGTTATAAAACCAAAAAGAAAATCCATGCACAAAAATATCACCAAAAATTCAGCTGCTCTTCCTTTCCTCCCAAACCCCATCTCTATAAACTGCTCTCACATTGGCAGCTCTTTGACAGGAATGACAAAACCACCAGGATGCTCCTCTGCTATTAGAGCAAAGACATAACCCAGCATTTAATCCCCAATGAGAAGAAGGAAAGAAACAAGTGAACAATTGCTTTAAGTTGTGTGGAAGGAAACGAGCCCTGGAGCTATTTCAGAGGTACTGTTCTAGTCATAAACTCCACTGTGGGCTGAATTTTCAAAACAAATGTTATTTTGATGTTCTTTATGCTTGAGGTACCTCGCTGCCCATTTTTCTGCTGATGCCTAACTTGAAAAACTATCTCATGTCCTTTCTATTGGACAAGAGGGCTAAACCAAAGCCCCAGACTCAAGCTCTCTGAACTGACCAACAAGGGGCAACATCCTAAAGCTGTTCTCCAATACTATACATAAGTCACGTGTAATCTAGAAAGCTCAAACTCGTGTCCTCATTTGCTTTGCTATCAGGACATGTTTGTGTCACCAGTTGCGGTAGCACCACCACGGAGTGTCACTTCTCCTCTCTGCACCTTCATCTTTCTGCCAGCTTTCTTCTTGTCCATTTAGGCTACTCGCTCTTCTTTTACAGTGTGTGCATAATATAGATAAACCCACATATTAGAGCAACAACAATGCGGTCCCTGCACCACCAGAACCAATGACACTTGCTTTGCTACAGTTTTGTATCCTGCAGTTAGTTAACTTTAGTGGTGCACATTGCACAAACCCAAAGGAAGCTTCACTTGTGCTTGGGACACTACCAACACTATCAAACACTCATCGATTCTCTCTCTCTTTCTCCTTCCCTTTGCCTCCCCTCCTGAGGGCTCTTCAGCATCTTTTCCCTTGCTCCAGTTTAAGGACAGCTATCAGGCAGCATAGTCAGTTTGGGAAGAAAATGCAAGACACGGGCACGCAGGCAAGCACAAAGTCTGTTCTTGCACAGGTCCAAAAGGAAGTGACACATCGCAACTAAACAGTTCGCCGCTCCACCGGAGACCTTCACAAAGACTGGAGAAGACAACTGAGATTAGAGAGAGTCTTAACTGGAAACAAAATAGTTGAAACACATCTGACCAAGAAGGAAAAAAGCTGAAAATTGCCAAAAGAGAAAGAATAATCTGACATCCTCAGTTTTGCCAGTATTACAAGGAGGAGCTTTAATGCTTTAAACCATTTGCTGAACGGATGGGGGACCGGCAAGAAAATCTATGCCTGCCACGCGACTCTGCAGCCTACCTGTGTAAACTACTTTGCGCCTTACGGTCAGATTGACATGACCTTGCTTGGCTGCCTGTTGCATAAGCTGGACAACAAGCTGATGCGATTTTCCAACAACGGGTGTCCCATCCACACAGATGAGCTCATCACCCGATCTCAGACGGCCATCAGCATCTGCAGCACCCAGCGGTACAATGTGACCAATGTAAATCTGTTGAATTAGCACAAACAGAAGAAAGGAAAGAAAGAGAAAGAAAAAAACATAAATGAGACTATGCGTAACAGGCAGCTGGAAACAAGGGGGCTGATATTTAAATCCAATTCAGCAGCAACTACAAATCACTAACAAATGTCTGCTATTTAGTAGATCTGCTCCTCTGGAAGCAGTTCCATGTGTGTATAGCCCATATCACAAAAATCTTAATAAAAATATTGACATTTTGCTTCTTTAAGCAGTCCACTCACTCGAATGACAGCCAGCCTTGGGAAATGCATTCAGTCAGACAGCGACCAGAAGAGAGCGTAAGATGGTTAAAAGCACCATGAGTGTTGTTAGGGAGGCTGAGATTGAGTTACCCTTTCAGCTACCTCTAGGGTTTCCAAACTCAGTACCATCCCCCTGTTCACCAAGTCAGCTTTGGTTTATCTACAGGGAGTGGAGTTATTCTGGCACGAGAGGAATTCATACGCTCTCTTTCCATAAAGGGGTAAAAGCATTTTGGCAGGGAAACGCATGGAAGTTTATGCTGCCACTATCTAGCTTTGACCTGCACGGCGCATAAAAGACTACGTGCTTTCAGCCTGACACCTTTGATAGGCATCGGACTTCTAGTTAAGAAGTTAAGTGAATTCAAGGAAGGAAATTGAACAAAAAAAAGCCCAAAAACAATCAAACCCCCCCCCCACTCTGAAGTCAAACAGTGGAAACTATCTGCAAACATGACCAGGACATCCTTCCCTCCGTGCCTGGAAGATTTCAGACCTGTATGTTTTAATTTGGGCTATCAGAAAAACAGGCAGTGTCAAGTGATGTCGAACCTAAATATGGGGGGGTGTGTAGAGGGGTGCGTGTTTGGTTTTTGTGGCAGAAAGTAGCTGCATTGTGTAAATTCATAGCCCAATGATTATTTTAAAATAGATGTAAGCATGCAGAATGGCACATCTGCACGTGTTATTGCACTGATTCGGAAAGATGTGACGAGTTAAAACAAGACCACTTTCAGATGCACTCACAGGCTCTCCAGGCTCATTTCCACCTAGAATCCTAAATCCAAAACCGGTTTCCTTTCTCCATAGAAAGATGTCCTGCTCTTGATAATCTGGAACTGAAGGGAAAGAAGGCGAAATTAACATTTTTAATTGGAAAAGCACAGCTTCATACCCAAATGTGTTGATGGGGAACTTTGCATGAAAGCTATCCCACTTGACGGCTGCTCAAAGCACATTCTCGTGTATTCTGAAAAAAGCTGAAATCATTGGGAGTTTGCACGTTCAAGAAAAATTTATCGTTTGCCTGGCTTTGGTCTGCAGCCTGCAAAGCTAGGTGGGCTCTCTGCAACAAGGGTGGGAAATTGGCTCCCAAAGGGGGACTGGCACCTTCGCTCCTATGGCCCAACCCTCCCTCTGACACCATCTCCGCTGCTGCGCTCTCGGCACTGTGCTGGGACGCTCTGCCTGCTCGCGGCTGCAAAAGGGAAGAAATGCACTGAAACCCTCCTGTGAGGGTTTTACTGCAGATAACAGCAGTGAGGCCTGACTGACTTGTAGAGGATCCACCACATAATTTTGATCTTTAAATGAGGAAGTTTTGAACTTTTAGACATAATTAAAAATATTCATAGATTAAAGTAGCAAAGGGTTATTATTTATATTACTATCAACAATTATCCAATGTTTTCTACTTTCTACTAGGTCCCTGACTGTGCCTTTCCATTTTTTTCCTTACTGTAATATCTCTTTCCATCAATATTAGCATCGCTATGCAGTGCAAGAGCCTCTTTTGAATCATCAATAAACGAATACGTACAACAGAGAAATCACTCTGCCAGAAACAATACAGCTGCTTCCACTTTCATAGGAGACAAAAGAGCCACTTGTTATGACTTCTACTGTTTAATTAACTTTCACAAGCATAGTTTACTCTCTGTCTATTGACACTGCTTTAAATAACTGTGGGACAGATCCCCAATCAGTGTAAATCAGGGTTTACTGAAAACAATGCAGTTCTCCTGATTTTCACTTGTTCGTGTATGGGCTTTGTAAAACCAGTGAACAGATAGGAACAGCTGGAAACAAAAAAAAAAGACAACTTTACCTACTCAACTCATTAGTATGGATCACCAGCAAGATTTTTACAATGAATATTACATACAGTGAAGTACTAACCTTGAAATGGAGTTGAATAGAAATGTTTTATTTTAATTTACTCCTGCTTGCTTTCATCCCTTTTTAAAAAATGCAAAATTAATTGCTAACATTAAATCATATCAGAAGACAACTTCAGGTTCATTTAATATTTATGGGCTAGTAACAGCAACATTGACTAATTTTGTAATAATCTCCTCCCAAAATTTATAATTACTGAAAGAAAAAGTTATTTCTTTACAAGTCAGCTGCCTGTATCGTTAGTAAAGAAATCCAACTGTATCTCCAGAAATATAATTTAAATAAGTGCATACTCAGATACAGGAGGCAACACTTCCAATCAAACAGAAGCTAGTCTTCAATAGCTATGAGCAGATAAATTGTTGTGCAGATAAACTGTTTTTCTTCCATTGCCATCAGTGAATGTCAGAGGGGGCCCTGATTGCTTTTTACACTGTCAGTGCCTGTTGTGCAAAAGTTTGGGTCATTTAGTGCTTTTCAGCTTTAGACTTCTGGCTGGCTTTGATGCTCTCCCTTCAATGACTCACCAACAGGGTTAAAATATAATAAGAATTCAAGACCTGGGAAAACTCAAAATTAAAAGAACAGGTGAGTGCTAAGGCACAGATGTCTGATTTGACCATTTTCATTCAAACCAGTTTATCAAACCATTGATTTTATATACCATCTTTTTGAAAGAGATCCTCCCATTTTAAGTACTTGCAGTTATAAACTAAGCTTGAGATCTGCATGCATTACCTTACCAAAATATAGGCTAATTTCCCTCCAAATACAACTACAGACTAATAAGGTGATAAACAGGCTGGAAGCCTGCACCGCTCATCAGCTAAGATGAGCTGGCTGAAGGCAAATTGCCATAATAAGGATCTCCGGCATAATAACAGAACTTAGACAATGAATCAATCGGTATTTGTCACTGCCTCCAACAAGGGGGAGCACGAAGAGCAGACACATTCAGAAACATCTCTCCAGCACTTTGTAGGCTTTTTTGGCAAACGCAGGCCCAAAGCAATTAAGAGCACATGTTGGATCTGTCAGAGGCAAAATGGCTTCAGCAGAGAGCTTCAGCGTTTTCTCTGCATGGCTCAACACCTTCCCATTTGTCAGCTCTCCAGCCTCACTGAACGCTGCCTTATGTTCCTCATCCGGGGACCAACTAGCTAACTAATGGCCAGCAGAGATAACAGCAAGCCTAGGTGTAACTAGAGCACTACACGAAAGTAACAAAAACACAGGTCTATCCCCAAAGAAGCAAGTTCATTCACGTAATGCTCCTTCTGCTAGAAGGATTACAGACAGGTGAAACATAGACACAACCAACACACAGACCGCACACGTACACAAGATGAGAACAAATCAAACAAAACTCCTTTTACCGCTTTTTGCTCCGGCTCAACCATACTGTGACTCACTGGCACCATCCAGATTGCTAATAAAATCTCAACCATCTCAGGGCTTTGATAAAGCCAAGGTAGGACCCTCTTGGTTTGGACTGTGACCATGCTGGAGAATTAATTTAGGATCTCCGCTCTTCGGTAGGACTTAGGAGGAGCCACTTAAGACAAATGGAAAATTTCATGGTGGTGCTGAAACTTTATGCTGAAAATCAACGAAAAATGGCCTCCAGGAGTCATTTGTTAAATCTCTGCACCTTGAGCTGACCTGAAGAATGTCTGACCTTTTCTGAAAAAATGTTCCCTGAAATTTTTTTTTTTTCCTCCTGGGGAAAAAAAAAACGGGTAAAGCTTGCTAGTCTCCTCCGTCCTCTTTTAAAAGAGACCATTGGGCAGTGCTGCAAAAGTGGTAAGAAGAGTTCTGCACAGGACGTGAGGAGGCGTGGACCCGGAGGTGAGTGATGCGGTCCCACTGACAGACAGGTTCACGAATGAAATGGGAACGTGATCCCCCCCCCCCCGCCTACATCATCTGCTGCTGGCCAGTACAGAATAAAGCGAGGACTTTGCACCTTCGTGGCTAACCTTGGTGCGCAGCCCTGCTAGACCCCCCCAGGTGATGAGAAGCTCCCCGCCACGCGGCAGCAATGACACCAGAACAAGACACCACAAGACATAGATACATTCTCGGCACAGTCTTACATTCTCCAAAACTTGTGGAATTGATTTCTCTCTCTCTTTCACCCTTGCTCAGTCCAGCTGCAGGCGAAGGTGACATAGCTGCAATATTAATTTTACAGTTTTGCAAAGCTTAAGGTATCTTCCTTTCTTGTTAGTTTGTTAATTTAATTCTCGCGGTATGGATCACGTTAGGCTTGCATGCATATAACTGCAAAGGTTATAGCTACTATGGGTTATGACATTCTAACTTTTACATCTATTGGCACATTTGTATACATGTGGATACATAATATGCACACACATGTGAATTTATACATTTACGCACATGCATGCAGGTATATGTGAACAACCTTTTTGCTCCTTGAAGGAGGAATCGCTTTGAGAACACCTTAAAGAGTTTTCTACAAAACAATTTTCACCATCATAGCACACGAAGTTTTCCAAGTGGAAATCTCTTTTTCTAATGTTAAAAGAAACTCTAAATCCATGGTGATGAACAATGAAGAGAGCGCTTCATTAGAGATCACTTTAATTAAACTTACTCTACAAACTTTAACCGTTACCCTACGTGCTCTAAGAAATGTTTTTTTCTTTTTCTACCCAGTGTGGCATTAGTTTCAGCAAAAGATGGATATGAAAATAAACCGTAAAATGAGTTTGCAACAGTCACTAGCTCATTTGAGGCACAACAGTCACTAGCTCATTTGAGGCTGCAACACTTTCAGTCCCTCATAGCAAAGTACAAAAGTTTTAAAGTTTAAGGCCCAGATTCAGCAAAGTGTATAAGGACTTGCTTGAAATTAAGAATGAGTAGTCGCACTGAAGCCAATGGAGAGTTTCACTGTCAAAAACTCCTGTGATTTGTCATGTATCTCATAAGAGTCCATGTTCTCGGGAGAGCCCCAGTTTCTAAACTATCCCACTGCAGAAAATTCCAGTTTTTCTTTCTTTTCCCTTTAATGAGCCCTCTAGCTGCATGGAAAATTTTTGAAATATGAGTTTAGTACGTCCTCGACAGGGAGACAAAGTACGGCACAAGGGATGCCACCGAGGTCTGGGGATTGCTCGACACCTTGGCTGAGCCGGGCACGAGGCTGGTGATGGACAAATAGTAGCCAAGAACACTCACCAGCAAGTCTGTAAGCTGATCTGCAGCCTTTCCTGCTCATGAAACATGCTGCGAGTATTAAGATCCTTTTAAGCAAGATGTTCTCTAAGGGTATGGACACATCTGTGTGCCTGAGTGTATGATTGTAACAGTTTGTCTCATATTGATATAACAAAAGAACATGACCCTACAATGGGGTTTTTACTATCATCTTTAAAGTCAGTCTGATCAGAAGTCAGCTGGCAACTTCGTAAGAGCATTCTTCTTTTCTGTTTTAGGAAGAAAGTATCTAATAATTGGCCCTCATTGTGCAAATATTTTTAATTCTATGTAATTGCTGGTGAGTGAACGTTAAACACTAGGTTAGCTTTGTTTGTATTATTTTAATTAGATTTGAGGAGAGAAAATCCTACAAAATAAATTATGTGCCTGAAAATAAAATTCAAATATTAAAGATAACTTAGAATAGTTTAAAAGCTTTAAAAATTATCTATAGTGTTCTGCTTCACTTTTAATTAAATGCTTAAGCCCTTCAAAGGGATTCATTAACACATCTGCAATTCAGATTAATTCATTTTGTCACTGCTGTTTTGACAGATGGCCATATGTAGGATACGGTATTTTGCAAAGCAATCAGGCCACATGAGAAAAATTTGACAACAGATTGCATTAATCTTTAAGGCCGTTTAATAATACATTGAAAAATAAAGATCATACTATAAAAATATATTTTCAATAAAGCAATACAAGATGTTGGAATTGTGGTTCTTTGGTAAACTATTCAATTACTGTTTCTTTCACTGAATGGTCGCCACGTATGTAATTGTGGGATCTTGGAACCGGTCCATTTTTTAAACCTTACGGGTTCGTGTCTTTCTCCCTGATTCATGCACACAACTCCCATTAGCAGTAATGAGTTACCCATAAAGAGGAGCTCAGGCAGCTAAGACTTAGCACCAGCAAACGGTACATTTGTTATCAACGCCAAATGATCTGTTTTCAGATTCACTCAACACAAAGCTGCCTATTCTTTAAAGTCTTAATCCAGCAAAGTATTGCGACTCTGGGCCAGATTGCAGCAGAGCATTTGAGCTCAGCCTTAGCCTTAAAGCATCCTCCTACTCCCTTTGGGTCTACGGCTTGAAATTAAGCTTTGCTGGACTGGAGCCAAAGCACTCAGCACCTTGCAGGCCTGATCTCCTCACCTGGCAGAGCTGCAAGCGGAAACTTTAGCTTGTATGTATTGAATAAAGTTGCAGTTCTCATCTGCTGCTACTCAACCATTGTCTAGACACAAATTATGGAGCCTTTTCTTAGCTTTGCATTATTAATTCTAGCTTTATATATTTAATTATTTATATATATTTTTAGCAGACAATGTCTGTTGCTCTCCTCCACAGAATCTGAGTGATTCCTTAATCTCAGATGCACTGGGTGTATCAAAAAAAAAATACGGTTTCACAAGACTATGGGCTATTTGGCACTTCTGAATGAAATTCTGCTCTGCCAATGGCTTCACTGAGACAAGTCACGTATGTCAAATATAGCCTTTGTTATTAAATAATGATTCATGTATCCAAAGGAAAAGTAGAATACGCTGTATCAATTTTGAAAAATTAAAATGTTGCCTTTGTAATTTCCATGCCTATATTATTGCTATTACTGTTATTATCAGTGGGATGCACTCCCAGTCAAAAAGGCAGTAGGTGGCCATTACAGATTCAGTACTTCTTAGAATCATCCCAGAGAATATGGTATTCATATACTGAATTACATCTCCCTACATTATTATTTTTAGATGAAAAAAATTCTGGCTGGGCTGTGGCTAATGAATTCCTCTTTTTGTGTCAACTGCACTTGAAAAACTGCATTATGTTCTCTTCATATGCAATGATTTCAGAAATGGAGCTAAATACAGCACTAAGAATGATCTTATAATCTAAAATTCTGTCTTCCCGAGCTTCATCACATACTCCAATATAAGGATTGTTTCTGTCTTTCAGTCCACTCGTGAGGGGCAGGGTTTTGAGTCCCCAGTAAGAACATTGTCTTATCCCGTTCATATTTCTTAAAACATATGGCAAAGAATCAAGAGACAGATATCCTGGACTGTGGAACAGAGAGCACCAGTCTGGAGCTTCTTGGGCAATGGAGACTTGGGAGGACACACCAAAAGCCCAGGCTAAAGGATGCATCAGCCAATCTCAGCATGGGCGATAGAGCAGCATCCTCCTCCTGTACATTAGCTATTCATTTAAATTCTGCTCGTGTTTTCATTACAGAGAGTGACCTAGCATCCAAAGCCATGGATGCCAAAGAGAAAGACATGCTAACTTAAGCCCCAAAGCCAAAGAGGTCCTCAAGCAAAGAACAAAAAACAATGATAACTTTGTATCGTGGTCAGCCAAAGGAGGGACCAGAGTTAAACTGGGCTGCAACTGGTGGAAAGCACAAAGCACAGCACACACGGAGCAGACAGACAGCAAAACAGGAGTCTCAGGGAATGGTTTTTCCCATCCCGCAGTCTGCAGTGTTCCCTAAGTCCGGACCAAGAGCTATGCAACTAGTGCTCGGGCATCACTGGGAAGTGAGTTTCAAAAAGACAATTCACATTTATAACAGAGTAGCCACCAGCTGCCTACTTCTCTCCTTGCAGACCAAAGGTAGGGTAAGAAACATCATAGCTCACCCCACGCTCCCCAGGCAGAGGACATGCTGGGCTTCAGTTGTGAACTACACTCCCTGTTCATCAGCGACCAGGGAGAGGGATGGCAGGCGAGGGCTTGGCAGGTGAGGGAGAGAGCAAGGACTGACACTGATCTCTGAATAAAAGCACCAGCTGCACTTTGGGATCTGACTGCAACAGGATACACAGCACTTCCATCGGCTGTTGGACAATATCTTTCCTTGGACTATATCTTTCCTTTTTTTCTTTACTTTCTATCAGGTTCAGCAAAGCCAAATCACAGGTAAAAGTGCAGGTTAATCTCCAGGGGGTACATTTTATTTCAGCTTAGGATCTGAAATACATGGGCTCTTGGACACTTGCAGCGATCGGCGCTTACAAGGAGACATGACCACATCACGCTTTTGCCAGTCTCCGAGAACCCTAACCAAAAAGTCCAAGGAAACACTTTCCTGGGCAGTAAATGGCAGCAGCAGGAGGAGGAGGAGGTAAACAGGCACTGATGTCCAAACGGGGAGGTCCCACCTGGCAGAAGAGCCAGGAGATAAGCATTAAAATAGCAGAAAAGGATTGATTCCTGCTACACAGAGATCCTGGGCCATGGCAAACAACAAAGTGAAACAGGGAAGCTGAAGGATCGCAATGTGCTAGCAGATGCTGCAGTCCAGCAAAAGGCCCTAGCAATAATCCCGTGGCTCAATGCCACAATCCCGAGAGGATTGCAGACTGGGAGAAACAGGGCCTGGGAAATCAGCGGGCCAGGAGAGCAGAGAAATGGAATCTGGAAGGGCTGTACTCACAGACAGGGATAAAACCTCTATGAGATGCCTACAGGCACCGAGGAAAGAGCAAGGATTTCTCACACCATTTTGGAGGTGGACCCAGAATTTTCACTTTCAACAGCTTGAATGCGCACTTTAAGATTTCTCCCACTCAGCCTCAGGTTTTTATCAGGAAAGATAGGCAGGAGTTAAGGCTGCTAAGCTAATGACTAATTAGTATGAGTTAAACAGTTAATTAAAAATTAGCTAAATAGCTGCAGGGGGGTCAGAGACAATGACAGCACAGTGCCTGTGGGGACCCCGCTGCAAGGAGGTGAGCTGAACTGCTTCAGCTGAGCAAAGGTGATACCGTTGCCATGGGCTGGCCTTGATCTCGGCAGTCTGGGGCAGCTGAAGGAGCTCTGCAGGACTGAAAAGTCACCGGGCCACAGCTCTCTGCCCCTTTTTCCTATTTCAACTAGATGCACGGGCAGTGAGGAAGTGCAGTCGCTGCATTTCTCCGTAGAACGGCATGATCTGGCCCCAGAGCCTGCAAGGTCAGGAATACAGCTAATCCCTGAAAAGGGAAAGAAAGCAGCACAGAGAAGCAGAGACACCTACAAACTGCATTGCTGAGACATTCAATCCAAAGAGATGCATCTTCAGCCAAGAAAACTGTGATTCATGATTTAATTTTTCCAGGACATAAGATTTAGAAATGATTCATTTGGTCAGGAAAAAAGTCATTCCTACCATTTTTCGTTCTGGGGTAATGTTCATTTTATACTGTTTCTCTCAATTTCCAGTTAGCACAATGAAAACAAACTCCAGGTTATACTCTTACGGTGTTAAGACTTTCAAGCTCCCTTTTCCATAACTAAAATAACCATTGTTTCTGGATGTGAACCTAATACTCTTTAACACTTTCTTTAAGAAGCTGTTACAGATTCTGCTACCTTCAGCAGCATAATTAAAGTGAGGTTAGCATGTTTATTTTTTTTTTTGCAGAGAAGAAACTGATTGAAGGCATATTCGTACTCTTGGAGCAGAGTCAAAGCCCTGCTCAAATCTTAGCCAAGTGTGTAGATTAATAATTACCATAAAAGCCATTTACAATACACATTTGATTTCTATATTGTTAAAGTGGTCGACACCGGGCAAAGTAACAGGGCTCAGCTGGATTCTTTTCCTTCCAAGCGTGAGACTGGAAAGCATCTGATAGGAATTTCAGCAAACCAAACAATCAGTCAAGGAATCTTCACCTTGTAAAAATAGTTTAGGATCTGGATAACAAACCTGGAAATTCTCCTTCAGCCTAATTTAAAAATAAATAACAAATAGGGACAAAGATGGACTTTAATATTTACATTATTTTATTGGGATTTTTTGGTCTAAGTGACCTTTACTGGAGATGATCTAAACTCACCCCTCATCAGAGAGGAAACTGAACTGCTACCAAGTCACCAAAATACCGACTCAACAAACTCAAGCCTTATATTTTCAATATAAACGCACAAGATTCAGTTTTTAGCAAAGAAAATACACAGAGAGCAGCTGCCAGAACCGTAGCCTTAGCAACCACACCTGTTTTATACTCACGTCGGCTTTCATACATGCTCCTGGACTGGGCCCAGATTTTGAACGGATCTGGCTTTTTCTGCCCAGAACTGTCCGGTTGATCTGCGGCCGGTGCTTCAGAGGCGGCGTAGTCCGGCAGCACCTGCGTGCTGTGAACGGGGGAAGCAGTGTGCCCGCTGCGGTGGCTAGAGACGCTGTGCTGAGAACTGTTTTGGCTGTCTTTCCTTTCAAGTGGTTGCTGTAAGGAGGAAGGCAAGTGGAAAGAGAGAGAACAGACGGTTATTGGTCTCTGAGTGGGTGTTTTCCATCAATTTTTCTCCCATCTTTGATCAGGGTTTCTGCGTGCACATAAGTAAATATATAAATCTCAGTTTTGCTGCCACCAGTTAATGCAGGATACAGATAAATTCCCTGATGACAGATTTCGATAGACAGACTGACAGAAAGAGATATGCAAAACAGAGTCATTTATCATAAAAACCATGCAGTACTCCATCTCACACGCAAAACAAATCTAAATCTCATTACAGGTTACTAGTTTCAGTGTACTTGTTTTTTCCTACATTAAGGTGGAAAGACTCAACAACCTTCTACTTAAATAACATTAGGGTCTAACTTGAGCCAACAAGAATAAGGAAAAGCCATCAAATTTCACAGTGAAAACTTACACGCAGCCCCTCTGAAGCAGGTTCAGGCACAGCCTTACTATGCAAGATCACTTTTCACCTGCAGCTCCATCAAGGATGGGTTGACAACAGAGAACCAATTTCATGTCTCTGTTTCTCAGAGCATCCGCAGGATTACAGCAGGCCCTCACAAATGTGAAAACGTCTACTTGTGCAGTTTGATTTTCTTGTTTTAATTGAGCACATTAAAACCGGAAGAAATACGTCCGCCTAAATTCAAGGCTTATTCAAAAGCAGTAAGTCAAGAGCTCCGTCTGCTCAATATTTAGCTAAGCAGGGTACATAATTCTAAGCTCAAATTCACGACGGTGTGCTCAAATGAAGCACAAGTCGCGTTTGCATTGCCAGGATTTGTACTGCTGAATATGCAGCAAAATCCTCCCTCAACAAGAGCTCCCCAAACAGTACAGTTAATGTTTTTTTTAATGCTCTTTTGAGATGACCTTGGGGTGGCATCAAGGGCAAACCCAGTCTCCCACCTGCTCCAGCACAGGGAACTGGCCTGTTCCTGGGGCAGCTCCTACGCAGTGAACGCCAGGGAAAACAGCACCCTACCTGTGGTCTCTATAACGTCCACAATTTCCTGGCTAAAAAGGGTCACTCACTCATTATCTAGAAATCTCAATCAAAAAATAGAGCCTCCTGCAGGCAGGTGGTGCCTGATGACATGGCAGTAGAAATCCCTGCTATGACAAACTTTTCCACCAAAGACCAAGCAGGGGTAGGAAGAAAAGCCAATGGCAAACACAGAGCAGATCAGCACAGTGGTCTGAAGAGCACACAAGTATGGGGACCCTCTCCTTCAGACTGAACATGAAACCCCAGGTGGCCAACGGTGAATCACAGTGGGGCTGGATGAATTACGGAGGAGAAAGTCTCCATATAAAAGCGCCCTCTTTTGAGTCTTCACAATAAGCTTGTCTTTTTATAAGCTGCATACGCATTTGGGTTTACACTGAGGGAGGAAACAGCCCCAGCAGCCCAATGGCTTTGACATACAAGCCTTGTACTCAAGTTGTTGAGCCACCACCAGCAATTTTTTTTTAAGTGTATCTCAATTGACTAGAACGTGAAGCTGCCTTTGTCCTTTAAAGTAATTTTGAACAAAGCATACCTGCTGTGATTACTCATCCACCGACTTTCAAATACAAATATCTAAACCAATTTCAAACATTTTTAGCTTTTTAAGTGGTAAAAGAAGCTAATTCACCTGCAGCCCTTCAGTTTTTAAATGAAGTAGTTTAAAAACACCTATGTAGTTTAAAAACATCTATTCCGTGGATAATTGCTCCTTTATAACTTTAAAAAAAGAAACACAATACAGCTCTCAGTCCAGCCATCTGGACTGTTTGTTTGTTTGGTCGAACAACTAAAATAACTAAAAGCATCCTATGAAACTTCAGGCCAGTCTCACTGGAAATACCTGGTTTACAGAGCTTGGAGTATAGGGACTAAATTGGGAAGATTTATGCAAGCCCTGGGGAAACGTCGGGAGATATCTGAAAACCTTCTTATTAAGAGAAAAAAGTTTGAACTCTAAAAATTAGTCTCAGCTTATGATATGGAAGGTCTAAATACTGCACAAACCATTAATTCTGCTCTGTATTTGGAGTGCAAATGGAAGTGTCAGTGTATCTCAAGCAAAACCCCCTCCTCTAATTTAAACTACACTTGCAATTGCAGATACACAGCAATTTTACAAGAAACAGGGTGCAAACATTCTTCAGATGCATAGTAATTTTTCAGACAATAACACCTTTAAAAAGCCTGGAACATCTCCATTTGCAAGTGGAGGAGGGGAGCAGAGAAAGGAGAACGCAACTATGGAGATCAAAGATATATGTAATTAGATGAATTTAAGACAACTTTAATCAACTTTCACCTCACCAGGACAGGCCAAAAAAGTTGGAGGTCAAACTCCTTTCCACGTGCTGTACCAGCACATGCCCACCAGCAGTGGCAGGCACCGGAGGGTCTGCTCGTAGAGATGCCTGGCCAAAGACGCTGGTACCCTGGGGCAAAGGCTGAGCTTGCCCAAGAGAACCGAGGTGGTGTCCTATCCACAAAAGGAAGGCTCTCTTCCACCTGCTGCCCGTTTTGCAACTGACCTCCACTGCAGGACCCGGACCTGACTGCCCAGTGCACCTCATGCATGGGCAGAAAGTGGTCCTGCTACCTCAGGGCCAGGGGAGCATGGGGCTCTTTGGTGACAGACCCTTTGCAGACCTCACCCTAAGATGCGTTTGCAGATCATGTTTTTCAGTGCAAAGTAAACTAGATCAGCTGAATCATGTTGACATTTGACAGAAGCTAGAAGATAAAAAGCATGAGGCATTAAATTACTCAAGCTAGCAAGCATCTTTCCTTGGCTGCCTTGAAGCACAAAACCAAGCAGCAAATATCTATGGTGGTCTTTACTCTTTCTTGCTAGAGAGACTAAGTTCTGACATAGAGTGGCTTGAAATTGGAACTGTGATGACTACCTTGAGTCCATTTAGGCAGACTGCACACAGAAATAGAGGTGCTGGGAAAAATAATTACCTCGCTACCGTACTACAGCCATGACAAAACAAATATGTGGAAGGTTGGAGCTTCTCCTGCCCTATCCAAGCCGCAGGTCTGAAACAGAGCTTACGGTGCTTTGCCAGCTCCCCTATGCCCTTACTGAAACTTTGTAGCGCTCATCCTGCACAACATAAGATGGCAAAAATGTGGTGATGGGAAGAACATCTTCCCTAGCTGACCTTTCCCACCGAGGGATGTTAACAGGCATGTCACTGTTGCTGCCGCTTCCTTGTGCTGCTGCCGGGAGGTGGGGGCATTGCTGTGGAAGAGGTGTTCAGGGTTGTGCACGCGTTGGCATTTCTTCCAGGATTTCTTCCCCCCCCGCACTGTGCAATCCCATCTGCAGCCACTACACTTGCTGAAAGGTAGCACCTTCCCAAGTGAAGCAGCGGAGAGGCCCACCCTGAGCACGCTGCAGTCCTGTGACCACGGGGAGGGATGGTAACAGCAAAGGCGATGGGAGCAGGGGAGCTTCAAGCTGTTGGGCTCCCCAAGGAGGTAGGAGGAAAATGGACCCTAAAAGTCTCTCAGAACAGCACAGGGCTGGAAGATGCTACAGATACCTGCATGTCACTGACCAGTTTGTCACTTGCGTCAAATGAAAGAGCAATTAAGCATTACTTTGTGCAGCAGAGGCTGAAGCAGCAGAGGCTGGTGACACGGCCAAGAAGTGGCTTCAGGCAGCGAGTAGACACTAATCGTTAGCACCGGCCACCATATATGGTTGTGTCAGGCCAGGAGAAGCCCTCAGCAGAAGAGGCAGTGGTGGCCAACAACGTGGCCGGGGGAAAGAATTGACACCAAAGTCTTTTGGCACAGGCATCTCCAGGCATGCAAACTGCAAGAGCAGAGTCACTGTGACTCGTTCTGTGCTTGCTTCAAGGTGGGGGAAAAAAAGGGACTGTGAATGAACGGGGATGCCTCGTGCAAATCCTCACGCTGCAGAAGCGATTTCTCCTCCTGACAAAAACAGGACATGGGCAGAGCCCCAAACACCGCCTTCCAGCTCGCAGCACGTGGCAACAAGTCCCTTGTCAGGGACAAGTTGTCCATAGAAATTGCATTTTGGGTCACAATTCAGCTGTGCTGACAATGTGTTTATTTAGATCCAAAAGAAAAGTAAGGTTTTTAAAAGAGCTTAGCAGTTCCTCCCTCTGCAATGATCTTGTCTTTGGACGATCTAGTTATAGATTTTGTGCTCTAGAGAGAGCAGAGCAGTTTTCAGAGAACCTGGTCCCGGCAGCAATACAAAACGGAGCTGGAAATGAGAATCTTTGCCCCCTTGTGGAATATTTTGATGCATGAAAAAAAGAAGGAAAAAAAAAGTAAGTTTGTTTCCATTCATGCTGCATCAGGATAATTGCAGGGAAAATTGCTATATTAGAAAAAGTGTATACTGAAAATGTATCTCCCCAAACTGTCGATGCCAAAATATTATTCATTTTCATTTACAGAAGAATCAATGGGAACCTAGAAACAAAAATCGGTGCAGACAACTGCTGTGAATCTGTCCATTTTGGGGGGAGGAAAAAAAGAAAGGACTTGGAAGCGTCCAGCCACTTTCACAGCTTGTTTCAAAATCTGGCTCTGAAGATTTTTTACTAGTTTGAGTTTTCTACTAAGGTTGAAAAACTCTCCCTAAAAACCGACAAACACACCAAAATGCATCAAAAGATATTGGTGTGTCTGTGATAATATGCGCAGACACATGCCTGGACAGAAAAATACCCAAGAGACTAAGCTGACAAACCTCCTGAAGACCCTACAACTTCTCCTCCAAGATGTAAATCCAACAGCCTGATGTCAGCATCCGGAAATACGGGAATGTGACTGACTCTGCTAAAAACAGGGCTGTTTTGAGAAAGAGAGGAGTTGGCAGCAAGGCAGGTGGGTGTCTGGGCTTTGGGAAAGGATATAGGAAAAAAGGGAGAGGGATTTTCACTGAACTGAGAAGCGGAGGAGGACAAAGACCTGAGCTTGTGTTTTCCCAACAGCAGCAGAGGAGACAAGACCGAGACCAAGTGCCAATCAGGCCAAGCACCGCAGGCCTGGGTGCATGCTGTTTCTTTAACCAATTTATCAATGAAGAAGTGCTGGAAAGTGTTCCCTGGGGAGAAACCGGCAGCGCATTCAACCCGTGCCAGTTATCTGGCAGGTGCCCCTGCGGCAGCACCAGCGAACCAGCCTGCGGGAGCCTAGTCAGCTGGCGACATTGGGATGCACCCAACGGCCCCAAGCACAGAAAAGCATCCCCCGGAAAGGCAGAGCGCGGCTAGACACCATCCCAGCCGGGCAACGGTTCAGCGGGACGAGCTCGGCTCTTTGCCACCAGGACCACAGCATGGGGAGATCTGCAGAGCTAAGAGGGCCGGGCTTTCCCCAGCACCCCAGCCCCTGCCCAACCCAACCTCTATCATTAAACTGCATAAAGCAGGTATGTTAACACCACCACTGCTTTATGCTGTTGACTAACACCTTGGACACACAAACTCTTGACATCAGCACAAATCCATCCTGTGCATTGCTGCTGCACCGACGCTGCAGCAGGGCAAGAGGCTGCTGCTCATCGCTGTGCAAACGTCTAGGAACAGCAGACTCATCGCCATGCAGCCTAGGGGAACAGGAGACGCTGCTTTCTGCAAGTCCTACGCTTTTGAGGCAACAGCACCGCCTTGGACCATAGTAAAAATTACTGAAGGGACCCTAGAGTAGGGGAGGGGGGGTCAGCAGGGCATCACTGGGGTTGCTTTTCTAGGACCACCAGCTCCTGCAAGCAAACGGTAGGGAAAAACCTGCTGTTGCAAAGCTACACCTGTTTGCAAACAGTTTCTTTGTTCACTGAGGAAGGACGATCCCAGCAGGGATTTAGAGGTTGCTTGGATTTTCACAGGGCCGCGGCACCGCTAACAGGGCAGGCGCCCGACACCGCCGGCCCGACTCCGAACCCACGCGGAGGCGAGCGGGAGCCGAGAACTGCACGCGGGTAAAGACCACGACTCGTTCGTTCATCAGGGCTTAATAACAGCAGTCGGACTGCAAAGTGCACGCAGCGATTCTTTCTCTGACCAGGGAGAAAAGTGCAGGCAGAGCAAAGAAACGCTCTAGACTTGTACGTATTTTACACTCTTGATCCCGTTTTACCAAAGGCTGAATAAGTCCCCGCGTATGGCGCAGAAGCACGCAGGGGCTGACGTGCCCGTGATTTGCGAGGGAGCGCACCCCGCACTTCCGCCGCTCGACACTAATGCGAGCTGACAACGGCAGAGGCCTGGGCTCACGTGACTGTCATCAGCGCTGCCCCCAGCCATCCAAACCCCATTAATTATTGCAGGGCTTGCTTCTTGGATGAACGGGGAACTTGCGCGAAAAGCAGCAGCTTTCTGCTCGGCTGCTGGGAAAAGCTCTCGCCAAGGTTTGCGGGAAGGTGGGCTGTGCCCAGCTGCAGCCCCGGGCCCCCATCGCGGGCTGTCGGTGAAGTTTCGCGCTGTCTCCCGACAACGGCAAACACCTCACTCGCTCTGCGTCCCTGAAGCTCCTGGGAAGTCAATTTCTCTTTTCCCTCCCTCTCAGCAAATCTCTGGAAACTTTCAGGCTCTAAATATTTCATTTCCTTTAAAAATAAAGCATTTCTTTCTGTTGCATATAAATAGCACGATAATTTCTTCCCACGATATCATGCACAGAGCTTTAATGATACTTCAGATGACAGCTCCCAAGCTATTAGCTCACATGTCATCCAAGTAACAGCTGCACATGGAAATAAGATCAGAAGGGACAGGAAAATACTGATTTTTTTTTTTTAATAAAAGATCTCACACCTGCAACATAATTCTGCTCAGTAAGAAAACGCCTCCAGAGCGAGCGCTCAGGCAGCAAACGGTATTCGCGAGAGGCTGTAAACATGCACAGTTCATGCTTTGTCTCTCTCGTCAAGGCACATGCTTTCGCATTCTGTTAATAATTCAGCCGATGGTACCCGAGAAAACTCAGGGAGTTAATGGAAAAGCCTGGTTTCTGCAAACACCCGGCAAGAATTGCTATCTGGCAAGAAGGTGGAGCCTCCCACCTTTCCAAAAGGAAACAATAGTGCCTTTTTTTTTTTTTTTGGTGGGTTAAATGGCTCATCCCTCAGGGAAGAGGATCTGTAAACCTCGGACTTTATTTGCAAACAAGCTCCCTTTCTGTGCTGCATTCCCTTAGCCAGCACAAGCCCTGCAAGGGAATCACTGCTGCACCAGCAAGACAACTTAAAACCAGCAAACCCCACAAAAAGCCCAGCCAAACTCGTGCCTTCCTCCTCCAAACCGGACAGACAAACAGGAATAGTAGCAGAAAAGTGCTTACCGACTTTGGGCTCTTCTTTGGGACCGGCAGTCCTGCAAAACGGCAACAAGGGAAAAATAAACATTAGCATCTAAACGTTACCTTCCCTTAAAGAAAAAAAAAAAAAAAGAAAGAAATCCCTAGGTGCATCCGCCGAACGCGGCCATCTGCAGAGTTTTATGTCAGGCTTCGCTCTCGCGGCGGAGCTGCCGGTCTGCTCACATCGAATCAAAGCCGAGCGCGACGGGAGCGGGGGGGGG